GTGCCAATGCCATCTCACTACTCCAAGTGATCAATTTCAGTTCACAATTGATCATAATGAAAGGACTAAGAGTCAAAGGGAGCACATAAACAAGTCTAGTATCTGCTAACACCAACCGATAGAATAAATAAAGGGGAGAGTGATCCAACATGGGAAGTGAGATACTCAGCAGACTCATAGAATGGCGGATGTCCTAAATAGCACTCTGGCCTCAGAATCAGCCCTAAAGGCACTCGGATCTGGCTGAAAAGCCCATGAGAGTATTTCAGGCATGGAAAGCCAAGACACTCTGGCAAAAAGATCTCTGTGAGTGAGATCCCAGTGGAAAGAACAGGTCTTCAAAGAGGGAGGTGCCTTTCTCTGAAGGGAGGAGAGAACCTCCACTTTGACTATGACCTTGTCTAAACAAGATAAGAGTCGGAGAACTCAAGGGGCTTCCGTAGCCTTGGAAACTCATAACTGGTGCATAGGGAGATTACTGATGCCATAAACAGGAGTGTCAATTGGTAAAGTCAACAACAGGAGTCACTGTGCACTTACTCCTCATGTAGGATCTCGGTCCTTAACGTGCTGTACACTGAGGCTTAATGCTATAACGAGTACTCAAACAGTATATTTCACTTTGTGTTTCTATGGGGGTGCAAACGACTGAAATCTTTACTTAATGTACACTAAACTGATCTTCTGTAAAAAAAAAAAAAAAAAAAAAAAAAAAGAAAGAAATTATCAACTCCCAACTTGACTCTCACTGGGATTAAACATGACAATAGGTCTGATCTGATTTCATCATCATTTAAAAAAAATCATCTATTATTTTTCACTTTATGTTTCTGTGTGGGAGCAAACTGTTGAAATACTTACTTAAGGTATACTAAGCTGATCTTCTGTATATTAAGATAATCGAAAATGAATCTTGATGTGAATGGAAGGGGAGAGGGAGTGGGAAAGGGGAGGGTTGTGGGTGGGAGGGACGGTATGGGGGGGGAAGCCATTGTAACCCATGAGTCGTACTTTGGAAATTTATATTCATTAAATAAAAGATAAAAAAAAAAAAAAAAAAAAGAAGCCTAGTGTCACTGATGGGAAGCACTCTTGTCTTTTGAATTCCTGAACCTCGGGATTTGTTTCATCACTTCAGTTCCCAGAAAACAGTCTCCCTGATAAAGGTAAATAGATAGGTGATGGGGTTGCCCCTTGGGACCTATTGGCCCATGGCCAAAAGAGAGGATTCATTTTGTCCATCAAGCAGGTCTGGGCCTTCAAAGAAGCTCTGTCTCTTGGCAAAGAACTGGTGCCAGGTGTGAATGCTTTACCTGAGCCAAAGAATCAAACCAAGCAGCTAAGTTACCAAGAACCAGACACTCGACTCGTGGTTAGGAATCAAACCAGCGAGTCCAGTAATTAGTTGCCCACTAACTCCAGGCATTACCAAGTGTGAGAGAGATGGAGAAGAATCTGGCTTTGCCTATTCAGCCTGAATTTGAATCTTATCTCTGCCTCTCACTTTCTAGACAAATCACTTCATTTCTCAGAGCCTCACTTTCTTGTAGCCAAATTAGCTCTCTGGAGGACTTGCAGTGAGGATTGCAAGGAGCCCTGTGGGCAAAGTTGCCAGCCTCGTTCATGTTTAGCAGCAAGTGCGGCGGAAGGGAGCTGTGATTGCTGCTTGTGCCAAGGGATGTGGCCTTGGCTGCAGGTTCAGTGAGCTTCCTGTGTCCACTCACTTGCCATCTCAGGGCTCCAATCTTTCTGAAGGTTCCATGAGCTCAGTATTACCTGGTATGTTTCTTGATGTTGAAAATAATGAATTTATCTTCAGAGAGAATAATTTATTTGTGCTACCTGCAAGCTTAAACTTGCCTCCTTCGTCCTTTTCCTGCTCAGGAAGTTCCCTAATCTGTGAGTAGGAATCTTGCTGTAAAGAGTGGGCTGTGCACACTTCAACAGCTTTTGGACTAAGAATCCCCACTGTGCTCAGTGCTCTCTGTCATTGGCCACATGTGGCCTTGCGATACAGTGCAAGGGTAAATATGTACACATGGAATTTGGAAGACTGAGTACAAAAAAGGGCAAAGTATCTCATTTTTCATGGTGATTTTATGTTGGTGTGATAACATTTTGGCTTATGTAAACTATATTATTTCTGCTTTAATGTGGCTCGCAGAAAAAGTAAATATGCATGTGTGGCTCATATTATAATTCTATTGGATCACCCTGATACATATTATCCTCTTTAGTCTCAATGTAATCACTGTCAGTAAGTGATGCTATTACCATCCTACTGATGAGCAAACTGAGACTGACAGGGAAAGTCACTTTGAGATGAAAGCTAGGGCAGAACTCCCAACTCCAGGGCCTGAGTGATTCCTTTTCATGTCTTGAATGAACAGAAGGAACAAATGAGTTTGACCTCGTGCTGTGGGTACTCTGTGAGCCAGTGGCTTTAAGAGTTGGTGGCCTGTGAGCTATCACTGCTGGGTGGACATTGCAGGGACTTTCTTCCTCAGGACCCCAACAACATTGTCAGTATTTTACGTTAAGACTCCTGATTTGGGAAAGAGCAAACATAGCAATCACACTGCAGAACTGGCATTCGGGAATCAAAGTCCCAGGCTGAGGTACCAAGATTTACTCTGTGACCTTGGATGAGTTATCTTGGGCTTTCCTCACCTATAAAATAGAAGCCAAAGACTAAATGATTCCGTGCTGCGCTGATGCTCATAACTCCGTCATCAAGATTAAGCTGGAGGAGGGGCAGGTGTTTGGCCCTAGTGGTTAGGATGCCAGTTGAGATGTTCATGTCTCATATCAGAGTGGCTGAGTGCATCCCTGAATCAGCTTCTGACTCCAGCTTCCTGCTAATATGGACCTTGGGAGGCAGCAGTGATGACTCCAGTATTTGGGCCTCGGCCATCCACATGGGAAACCTGGCTTCAGTTCCCAGCTACTGGCTTCAGCCTGGCTCCACTCTGGCTACTGCTGCCATTTGGGAAGTGAACCAGCAGATGTGAGCTCTGTTTGTCCGTTTCTCTGCTTCTCGAATAAATTGAATAATAATAAAAAAAGATCAGCATGACCCAGATGACTGGTTAATAGGATCACCTGAGCTTGGATATCTTCCCTTTTCTGAAGATGTTACTAAAAATATTACCAAAATATCATAGGAGGAAGTTGGCTCCAAATAGGCACTGTGTGACTATAATGCAATATAATTTACATATAAATTCATACCCATATATACACACATGTGTACCTGTGTTCTTGTTTATATGTATATACATAAACATAATCATATATGTACACAAGAATACTTCAAAAAGTTGGTGTAAAGTGGAATCAAAGTTTAATTTACTGTGGTGCAAAAAAATTTTAGAGTTCTTGCATAGTTTTTTTTATAATACTCATTTTCCATGAACTTTTTACAGACTTCTTGTAAATGTGGCATTCATGTATACATAGGTGATTTTATTTCATGAGATTCAAATATTTTTGGAACAAAAGGCCTGAATGTAAGTAAATACATTTTTTGGAAGTATTAAAGTGGGAACAGGAGATTTTAAAACTACTCACTGCGCAGTTTCTCTTTGTGAAGCACATGGTATATTTAGTGTTCTCTCTGTGTGTGCTGGTAACTCCCCTTGAGGAAGCAATCTCAGATGTGCACGGTGCTAACCAGGGTGCTTCATATCAAGGTGGAAAGAGCCTGAGCAGACAGGAAGGCGAATTTCAGACCTGGCCTCTGTTTCTAGTGCTTAGCTGTGGAACACTCCCCATCTCATTTCCTGGGTGTGAATACAGACCTGTAAGATGGAAGGAACTGTGCCCACCCCCATGAGCACAGCAGTCAGACCACCCCTTACTTCAAACCCCTCACTCTGCCACACATTAACACATACACACAGAGGGCACATACATACACAGTGGGCACATACACATACAGAGGGCACACACACACAGAGGGCACATACATACACAGAGGGCACACACACAGAGGGCACACACACAGAGGGCACATACACAGAGGGCACATACACACACAGTGGGCACACACACAGAGGGCATATACACACAGAGGGCACACACACAGAGGGCACACACACACAGAGGGCACATACACACACAGAGGGCACACACACACAGAGGGCATGTACACAGTGGGCACATCCAGAGGGCATACATACAGAAGGCACATACATACACAGAAGGCACATACACACACAGAGGGCACACACACACAGAGGGCACATACACACAGAGGGCACACACACAGAGGACACATACACACACAGAGGGCACGTACACAGTGGGCACATACAGAGGGCACACACACAGAAGGCACACACACAGAGGGCACACACACAGATGGCACATACACACAGAGGGCACACACAGGGCACACACACAGTGGGCACATACACACAGAGGGCACACACACAGAGGGCACGTACACAGCGGGCGCATACAGAGGGCACACACACAGAAGGCACGTACACACACACAGCAGGCACATACACACACCCTAAAATTGTATCAGGCAATCATGACAAGTCCATTGGGTTAACCATGTGGGTAATCGAAAAGCAAATGAAGTTTGACTGAAACATACTGAAACTTTCAGTTGACTAAAGCAAATGGGCCATTAAATTGAGCTCATCTGATCAGTAGAACCAACCTTAAACCTCTTTGTACTTGGCAATCTCTCCCTAAATATTTTTCCCCTAAGGAGTTACATCATTGGTCTCTGAGGTCCCTTCTTCAGTTTTTGTAGTTCTCTAACAACTTCTCTGTGCTTGTTCTTCAGTATACACTTTCAAAGCAGATTGCACAGTGTCTACGGGGTTAGAGCCACTGGTTTCATCATAAAGATGGAAGCCCTGAGCAGCCCTCTTCTGAGCTTGTCTGCGTCCCTTCCTGAGCGTGTGCTTTTGCTTTCATATAAATAAATCTTACTTCTTTGCTGAACTTTATCGACATCTCCTCTTTGAATTCCTTTTTGCCAGGGAGAAAAGAACCTGGACCAAGCCTAGCCAGGAGCCACCCCACAATACCAGGTGGGTGGCAGGAACCCAATCATTTGCTAATTTGCCCCTGACGTCCTGCAGGAAGCTGACATGTGGAGTGGAGCTGGCATTCAAATTCAGGCACGTTAATATGGGATGTGGGCATCCACGTGGCACCTCAACTGATAAGCCAAATACCTGCTCCTGCTATCCCTCTTAAACATACTTAAACGTTTAATATGGACTAAGTGAGTCTCCTTTTTCAAGATCAATACATAAAGACTAAGAATAAAAAAAAGGGAACCTAGATTTTGTTGCTTATGTCTTTATCAGTTTTAAACTAATGAAGTGATTTTTAAACCTGCTATAAAAATGACAGGTCCTACCGATGGAGAGGTTTTTTTTGTTTGTTTGTTTGTTTGTTTGTTTGTTTGTTTTTGGAGGTAGCTTGTAAAACCTGCAGTGCCCAAGTTGAGTCTATCTCTAACCCATTGCTTAATATATTTAAGCAGGAATGGAAGTGGGAGCCTCCAACCTCCTCTTCCTGGGACACAAGCTGTTGTGTATCATGCATGAGAACATGAACCATGACTTGTTCATCTGTGGGAACTGCATAGCACTTAGGCCAGCAGTGCCCGTGACCATGAAGAGCTTTGTTGCCCAGACGTGATACATCTCGTGGGTAATGAGGATTGTGGGAGAAGGGAGGCAGTTTGTGGAAAGGGGTCCCTATACTTAGAGTTTTTAATTTGGGCTCCAAATTTGGAAATGGATTAAATTTCTGTGTCCTTAGACAAGACTTGCATCTATAAAATGGTGGTAATAGGTATCTGCCTTGTGGTCCTGTCCTGCAGTGTTGTGGTGACAATCACAACTTGATAAATAGCAGAGCTTTGTGAAAAAGAAGGCTTTTTGCTCTTTCTAGTAAGCTCATGTACTTATCCCTTTAGGCCTGCTTCAAACACTCCCTTTACCACGAAGAAATCCTCATGTGCTCCAATGAAAGGAATGAGCATTCACTCCTCCTAAACGTGCTCATTACATGTGCCGCCCTGATGCTTGTGGTCAGGTTGACAAATTCATGTCACAATGCAAACCAGGACACACCTTAGTGGCTTAAAAGCACAACGGTGCATTAACAAGAGGTGACATGGAAGAGGGCAGAAGTCCTCTTGACATCAGGCTGGGGACAGGGGCAGTGTCATCCATCCACATGCCATTGGCCAAGCCCAAATCGACCCTGAAATGCTTCCTTACTGGCAATGAGGCCATGGATGCAGAGTGAAGCATTGCAGCTAACCATTCACTGTTCTGTACAGGTTCATCTACCCCACTAGATTAGGTGCCTCTGGGTGGGCAGAGCAGGAAGGGCAGAGACGCCGGGTTGTCTATCACCAGGGTCTGACAGGGTGGATACTCCACGATGCCTGCTGAGATCCAAAGGACCTGACAATGGTTTGTGGTTTCCTTTAGCACTGGTTGGCAAGCTATGACTGGTGGGCCAAATTTCATTTATTTATTTATTTTTTGTGCAGCCAGCCGGAAAGGAGCATGTTAATGACAAATGAAAATCACATGAAAGTCGCATCTCAGTGGCCCTCCATCAAGTTTTCCCGGAATGCGACCACACCCTTCCTTTGGGTATTGTGTGTGGCTGCTTTAGATCCGACAGCAGCTTAGTTGGCATTGGAGTTGCCATAGAGACCGCATGTCCCCTGAAGCCTAAAATATTTACTCTCTAGCCCTCTACAGAAAGTGTTTGCCACCCCCTGCCTTTAGGATAAAGAAACTAAGGATGGCAACAGAGCGGTGAACGCAGTGCCCAAGCCTGCAACTGTCGGTTGGATTACCTCTGTGTTTATATTGGGTTAATATTTCCTCCTTTGTTCCCTAGTAATTGGCGGTCCGCATCGCCCATGACCCACTGATCGGAGGCCACACCCTCGCTGCACGCTTCATGACCCAGCGGCACTCGGCCCAGTGAAGCCACCGTGGTGTCCAGCATGGCCGCGCTGCTCCTGGGCGCGGTGCTGCTGGTGGCCCAGCCCCAGCTAGTGCCTTCCCGCCCCGCAGCCCCCGGAGCCGAGCGGGGCCAGCAGGAGCTGGTGCGGAACGCGGGCACAGTCCAGGGCGACATGGGGGACCGTGCGGCCCCCAACGGCTCCGTGCAGCAGCTGCCGCGGACCATCATCATCGGCGTGCGCAAAGGCGGCACGCGCGCGCTGCTGGAGATGCTGAGCCTGCACCCCGACGTGGCGGCCGCCGAGAACGAGGTGCACTTCTTCGACTGGGAGGAGCACTACAGCCACGGCCTGGGCTGGTATCTCAGCCAGATGCCCTACTCCTCGCCACACCAGCTCACCGTGGAGAAGACGCCCGCCTACTTCACGTCGCCCAAAGTGCCTGAGAGGGTCCACAGCATGAACCCGGCCATCCGGCTGCTGCTCATCCTGCGGGACCCGTCGGAGCGCGTGCTGTCTGACTACACCCAAGTGTTCTACAACCACTTGCAGAAGCGCAAGCCCTACCCGACCATCGAGGAGTTCTTGGTGCGGGACGGCCGGCTCAACGTGGACTACAAGGCGCTCAACCGCAGCCTGTACCACGTGCACATGCAGAACTGGCTGCGCTTCTTCCCGCTGCGCCACATCCACATCGTGGACGGCGACCGCCTCATCAGGGACCCCTTCCCCGAGATCCAGAAGGTGGAGAGGTTCCTGCAGCTGTCGCCGCAGATCAACGCCTCGAACTTCTACTTCAACAAAACCAAGGGCTTCTACTGCCTGCGGGATGGCGGGCGAGACCGCTGCTTGCACGAGTCCAAGGGGCGGGCTCACCCCCAGGTGGATCCCAAGCTGCTCAGCAAACTGTACGAATATTTTCACGAGCCAAATAAGAAATTCTTCGAGCTCGTGGGCAGAACATTTGACTGGCACTGAGTTGCAGTAAGCTTAGGCCCTGGACATTTGCTATTGTCAGTTCGGGTGTACATGGGGGGAGGGGAGAATTTTAAAAGGGCATTTAAGCTATAATTTATTTGTAAAATCCATAAATTACTTCTGTACAGTATTAGATTCACAATTGCCATATCTATATATATATATATATACTAGTTATATTTTTCTACTTGTTAAATGGAGGGCATTTTGTATTGTTTTTCATGGTTGTTAACATTGTGTAATATGTCTCTATATGAAGGAACTAAACTATTTCACTGCAAAAAAAAAAAAAGAAAAAATAGATTTTTCTGGAGACGCTGTCTTTTTTTAAATATAACTGACTTGCCCCCAACTCAAAATAGCTGTCTGTGTTGCACTCCTTGCAGAATCTATATTCATTTGTTACTTAAAAAAGTAAGGTTTTCATGGCTATTAAGATGGTCTCTCCTCCCCTTTCCTTTCTGCTTTGCTCTTTTTAATTATTAATGTCTCACTGTGGTCATCGGATTTATTTATTTTTTGCTTGCATTGTAAGATGTATCTTCACTGAGTTTTCCTATTATTCATGGAGGTTGCATTGTCACCCATTCCTGACTGCAGCAGGTACCCTCTGCATGTGGCTTTTAATCCCAAGTAAGCCCAGTATGGAAAAAGTCATGTTAAGAATGGAGAAGCTGTTAATAACCTGCAAGAGGTTCCCTGTAATCCATCTTTGTGGTCAGGAATATTTGCAGATACTTCTGATCTTAGCAATCAGCAAACCACTAGTAAAGGGGATTATACCCTTGGCCTTCACAGTGTTTGGGGCTGTGTGCTCTGCTCCCTGTTGACAGCCTCTGGCAGGCCACTTAGAATGGACAGTGGAAATTGCAAAATCTCTGTTGTGTGTTTCCATCTTTTAGATGCTGTGAAAAACTGACTGAAGTGGTAGCTCTTGCTTAGTTTGGAAGCCCATGTTTATTTCCTGAAAGATCAACGTACATTTATAGACAGATACACCCCATGCATTGGAACATAAATGTGTGAATGTTTCAAAATCAACTCCAAGCTTGGAATCCTGGCTATGGAAGAAAATGTGAACTCTCAAGGGTTGAAGTTAAAATGTAAAAGGACCTAGTTGAGCATAGCATAGAAGGAACCCTTACACCTGCACCCAGAGGCAAGAGGCCCTGTTTGAACTGGAGACAGTCACATAAGCTCGTTTGACTGTCAGTTTTCTCATGCATTCTTCATTTGGTCAGCCTTGAACAGAATTAATAGGTTAGGGTTTTTTTTCCTTATGAAAGTTAAAGAGAAAATACAATAAGCAAAATAAACTTGGTTCCTGACATGCTATACACTTCAGAATGAGGGGAGGATGGCCATTATTGATTGTCTGCTTCACTAAAATTTCTCCAAGCAGTCCCAGGTTGGAGGAATTATTAGGGCAAATTCGAAGAGGGAGGAATAGACTTGGAGAACATGGGACTTTGCCCAAGATCACAAGGACTATAAGCCAGGCCCTGGAATCCACTCATAGCCAAAACACAGATATTTGTTTGTTTTGAAAAGCTCAGAAAGAGTGACTTGAGCTGACTTTCCTCCCCTGGTACCAAAAGTCATCATCCTAGGAGGTGTGATTGAGCCAGAGGAAGGGCAAGGAGGAGCTGTTGTTTTGTTAGCAGTATTATCAGGGAAGTGAGTCATCCTGGTTCTGCTTCAGCTACTCAGTCTGATCTGACCTTAACATGGCCCATGCCCCACCCTTGGCCATGGATGGACAATAGAGAGTACTGGGTCCTCTTCAGAACCCAGTGAGGTTTTCATTCAACCACCCCCTCCCCAGAAGGCATAGCAGAAACATTTATAGCAGGGTTCCCCCCAACATGGTGGTGTTTTGTTTTGTTTTGTTTTGTTTTTTGACAGGCAGAGTGGACAGTGAAAGAGAGAGACAGAGAGAAAGGTCTTCCTTTGCCATTGGTTCACCCTCCAATGGCCGCCTTGGCCGGCGTGCTGATCCGATGGCAGGAGCCAGGTGCTTCTCCTGGTCTCCCATGGGGTGCAGGGCCCAAGCACTTGGGCCATCCTCCACTGCACTCCCTGGCCACAGCAGAGAGCTGGCCTGGAAGAGGGGCAACCAGGACAGAAGCCGGCGCCCCGACCGGGACTAGAACCTGGTGTGCCGACGCCGCAAAGCAGAGGATTAGCCTAGTGAGCCGCGGCGCCGGCCACAACATGGTGTTTTGCAGTGTGCAGAGTGCCTTCCTCTACCCCACATCCCTGGATCTTGATTTTTATCTCAGTCTTTGAAGAGCTGAAGAAATGAGGAGACCCAGAAAGGCAAGATCAGGTTTGAAGGCTGCTCAGGAGCCTGCTGACTGCAGAAATTCTGACGACAGTGTCTGAGTCTCAAGGTGGGGTCTTTGCAAACTTCCTGTGCATGTCTGTGCCCTGTGGGAGGGGGTGTGGCTGAACCCTTGACTGTCGGGCAAGGGATGATGAGCAGGAATCGGGGAAGACAGGACCATCAGAGTGGCATAGTTGGTAGTGGGGGGTGGTCTAGTATGAAAGGGTTGCTGGGTATAAAGGAGTCAGATGTCAGATCAATTTCTGGTATGACTGCAGCTCATCACTGGGAAGGTAAAGGATGAGCAACCATTGCATCGGTTCCAGCCCAGGTGTTCAGATATCTGAGCACTGATACTAGGAGGAGGCCCTGCAAGTAGTCAGGGACCCTGGTCCCTCATAAACATGCCTTATGCCAATTATATTAACAAAGAGACAGTGGCCAGCTCGGTCAAATGAGGCTCCTGCCCAGCCTACCTGGGGGAGGGCAGGGGCATCCTGGACCTCCACAGGGGGTCCTTCCAGAAAGGCAACTGAGAGTTCTGAAAGGAAAGCCTCAACTATGGAATTTGGAGATTGCCCCTGACCTGGTGCTTCTGAATGAAGGCAGCCCCTGCCCCTTTCTCCGGGAATGAGCTGGTGCTGAAATCCTGCTAACACGGTTTGCTTACCAGCTCACAGCTCCAAAATTGACTAATCTAGGAAAAATGATGATGCACCTCTGAGCAGAGGGTGCCTTACTTCTTCCATCCAGGGAGACTGTTACTCAGCTGTGGGAACATACAGGGCAGAAAAGACCACAGGCCAGTGTGCCTGCTGCTTGCAGTGGTAGGGTCAGAGGTTAGCATTAGGCACTAAAATTTTATTTTTCCTTCAAGCCACTGCTCTGTGCTCAGCATGGTATTAATTCCTCAGAATAAAAAAAAAACTAAAATGCAGTGACTAATAGCCATTAACTACTTTGGGTTTTAATAAACAAAGAGGGGGCCAAGAGAGCAAGAGAAATGGTATTGATCTATTTACAGCCTGGAAGGGCAATGTAGTTCATGGCTTGACAGTTAATTCAGCAACAGCCCTCGGAAAACTCAACTAGCCCCATTATAGAGAGGAGAAAACTGAGGCTAAAGAAATTATCCACCTGCAAGTCATGTTTTTAGGAGAAATAAGGGAGTATGTTCACTCTAAGGGAATAGTGATCCAACAATGGGACGTGTTGACACTGGGTATTGAAAACGTGATAGGAGAAGTCACCTCCCATCTCTCAGAGTAGTGAGGGCTGAAAAATCTCCCCAGAGATCACATTGCATGACAGAGCTATGACCCAGGCCACTTGACATCAGACCACAAGGGCCCTAAAGTTTTACAGGAAGGCATCATGGAGTAATTGCCATGGGATCATGGAAGGCAGTGATGTCACTAGACATTCTGCACAAAGAAAGCTTGAGGATTCAAGCCATTGCTATGGGTGGGGAAGAAGGAGGAAAGAGACAGGCAAGTGACTTGTCTAGTGGGCAACAAAATGGGTTGAACACAATGAGTAGGCAAGACTCTTAGACCCTTGTTGGCTTGGTGACTGCTGTCCAACGCTGAGGTCCTAGAAGCTTACTTTTCAAGCACTCGTGTCTCTGGCTCCTGTGCAGATGTTCCTGTTGCATAAAAACAACTATCATATATTGTACACCTGCTGTATGCTTCGTATTTTAAGTATGTTGCTTCTAACCCACGTAATTCTGAGAAGGAAAATGTGTACTAACACAAAATGAAAGAGCCTGCCCAGCATAGAGCTATTGATTATTACAACTGGAATTTTGTCTCCAGTATCCTTGTTTGACTACTTTTCGTCCCGTCATATGGGGAAGGGGAAGAAGCAAAGCGGGAGTGTCTTTTAGGCAAAGCTTGTAAGGGAAAGTGTAAGCACTAGGATATGAGGTTGGCTACATAGGGGCTGTTGAGATCACCTTCAAGCAGGATCATGCTGGGAATTGATGTCACACAGACAAGATAAAATATGCCACTTGCTGGCACAAGTCCATTTGGGAACTTCAGTTAAAGGCCAGAACAAAACTCTCCAAATGTCAAACCAGGAGAGGAACAAAGACCAAGAGTAATTGCCATCTGATTCACTTGCTTGGCTAAAATATTTTGATATAGGTAACAGCCTTGGTTCACTCTGATGTCCAGACCTTTACTCCCTGTTTCTCAAATTCCCATTTGGGCAAAAGGAGAGAAAAGGAAATTAGAGCCAGGAGACTGAAGTGTGAAGCCTGGACCTACCAGTCATGATGCATGTGGCCTTAGCTTCAATTTCTAGGACCACAATTTATTTCTTGGTAGAAAAATGAGTTGATATTTACTTCACTCTGTTTAGGGGGACAAGTCAATGGCATAAATAGGAGAAAATTATAAACTCAGTGAGTATGTGGCATAGTGATTCAGAGCACTTATGATATGCAAGACTGAATATGACTGGTTTGGATCAGTCAGCAGGCACGGTTGTAGCGTGGCTGCAATGGTTCACCCTTTAGTGTTTTCTGGAGGAATCCCTTCCATTAGCAAGAGCTGGCTTTCCTGGAGGTTCCTGGGAAGTAGGCCCACCATGCTCCCTAGCTTTCCTGGGGGCAGCAGGTAACTAGAGATTAACTGATGTGGGATGGGTGTACAGGTAGCGGACGACGTACTTGTCTCTTGCAGAACAACCTCTAGTACATCCCATGCTCAGAGCCCCTCATGAGAGCAGACAGAGGCTAGACTTCTCCTAAACCAAACTCTTGCTTGATTCTTCCTCTGCTTTGTCCTTGTGCCTTGTGTCTTACCCATTTCTTCTGTAGTTGCTCTCCCAGTAAATGGCCTGCCCAAGAATGCAGGCACCTCCATCTCAGCCATTGCTTCTAGGCCATCTGATCTAAGATAGTAGCCCACATGCATGTCTTATTCTGTCTGTTTTTTAATGGATAATATGACCAACTCACAGGGCTATGGTAATTCTTGCAATTAAATGAGAGGCTGTGGGGAATGTGTTATTTTATTGGCTGGCACATACAGGTCTTAAATAGACAGTATATAAAAAGTGTTACCAAGTAATAGGCTCTTTCTTGGCTTATCAGATTATCAGCATATTAATAATGTTTTAATAATATTAAACCCAAACTTCACCTTCATGAAAGCTTTCTGCATCCTACAAATATGCATGCATTGCTCCATGTTAATTACATCACAGGATATTATATCTCTGTTTTTTGGTAAGTGTTCCACTTAGAACCAGCACATGATGCCCCTTCCTCTTAATTGCAGGGACTGGCACGACACCTCACACAATGCATAGCTTGTTGTGGGTGGAAGCACTTGCGTGTGGATGCAATGATAATTCTGGTCTACTTGTCAGTCTGATATGAAAATCCTCTCTGCACATCCCAGCCTTGTGATCTGGCCTTCCTCCTGGGAGTGCCCACAGGCACTTTCAAGCAGGTTGCAATATGCTTTTTTAATCCTCACAGATTCTCCAACCTCCACATGTTTTTTCATCATCATATGCCTGTAAATAATACAATACATGACATGGGAGTTGCAAATATTTATTAACCCAGCAAATCATCTGACAAGCTTTTTCAACTCTTCCATCTTATATGTTTTCTTGAGTATCACACCAATGACAATTTAGTGTTTTCCAAGTCAATGCATCAGAAATTGGCTATTGAAACTCATATTCTCTGCACCCAAACCTATATTTCAC